ACGGACATCACGAGGCCGAGTCCTCCGGCAAGAAGCCGAGCTTCACGCCGCCTGAGGACAAATCCTCGCAAATCGAGGCCGAGTCCTCGCCGCACGAGGCCGAGTCCTCGATAAAAAAAATTGCGACCATTACCTGCCGCACCACCGAGGCCGAGCCCTCGACAACGCATTTGCGACCCGGACTGACCGCGCCACTCCGTCGTCAGAGTGCCGCGCATATCGAGGTGGTGGACTCATTTACATATATACATTATATAATATACATACAATTGAACAGAATAAACTAAGTGTTTGATACGAAACGAGTGTACGGATCTAAACCTCCCTACATACGATCCCTCGACGATCCAAATTTGGTTGATTTAGGTAATGCTAAAAGAATCGAGATAACAAATAGCTTACCAATAAGATATAACGAAAATGTATAATGTATCAGAAATATATTAATAAAATTCTTAAAATTTGCAAGTACAGTAAATAAATAAGGCAAACAACTTTATGGATTTTTTATTTTATCATTCCTTGACATTTCAGTATACGACATATATATATATTACTAACTATAGCTTACTAACTTTATAGTCACAGCGTTATTAAGTATCACAGCGTTAAGTATCACGTACAATAGCTTATTAAAATATAAAGCATCCATAAACAAAAATAATCTATTTTACATAAATTAATAATTTAACATTTTATTAAATTTAAAAATCATTTTTGAATTAATGAATGAATGCCTTTTTGAAGTACGAAAATATTTTAAATTTGCTGTTTTACTTAAAAAGTTTTAAGTTTAATTCCGAAATTTTGACAAGATGCAGATCTATTTTAAGAACAAATAAACGAATATTTTAATTATTTTTTAAAGAGTGTAAAAAAAATAAAATAAAATTACAGAATTTCAGTTCCAATTATTTGGATTTAGCAGCTAACTCGCTCAAGATTTGCACTAATGATTTTTAAATTTCGATTTTTTCCTTGTGCATTTGTTCCCTCTCTTCTTTACGTTTTTCATATCGTTCTTCTTTCAATCTGTTAAGTTCTTGTCTCTCAATCTCTCTTTTAATCCTTGGTTCCTCTCTTTCTTCTTTTATGTCTTTAATAAAAGACTCAAGAACAGTTTCTACTCTGCGCTTTTTCTGTGAATCTGTAATAAAAATTAATTAATGTCTAAATGTTTAAGATGTAAATAAAATATAAAATTTTAATTGTGTAGTCAAAGTAATCGAACATAGAAAAATCGCGTAATCAAATATTGAAAAGTCGCGTAATGTGATGTTCCGATAATATTAAAGCGTGAATCCATGGTAACGGGTTATTAGAAAAATGAATATTGATAAAGGAAATCGTCAGATTGATTGTGAGTCGCGAGCCGTTAAGACGTGTACGAATTTTAATAAATAAAGTTATTTTCTTCTTGCTATAATTTTCAGAAGTGGGATAGTATATCTATACTCGTGGTTTAGTGAGTGTGACTTGTGCGTGCTAATAGTGTTGTTACGCGCCAAATTAAGTGCTTACGC